ATGCTAGGTTCAGAATTGCCAAAATTTTTGGACTTAAAAAAAAATTAAATGATTTGTAAGCCTTTCCACCTTCAGCCCATTTTAAAAAATTTAGGCCTTTTTTTGAATATTATTTTTTAAATTTAATGCTTTATGAAATTTTTGTTTAAGAAAATAATTTAGAAACAACCTTTTTATACTATATTTTAATACAGCTTTATATATCATTTTAATAATTGACTCTTTTTATTTATTTGAAATACATAATATTAAGTGCATTTATTTATTTAATGATATATAAAAATGTATAAAAATTTTTTATAAAAAATTATTTCTATATCATTATTCTTTTTTTAGGCCCTCCCCTCCTGTCCTCGATCCTACAGTTCAAACCAAACCCAAGCCAAAAAGTCATTTTAAAAATTAACCAAAAAAATAAAAACTCAATAAAATTGATTTGGTTAATGGTTGCTAAAAGTTAGTAACCAAAAATTCAATTAACTAATAGTTCAATTTCTATTGTAACCAAAATCAACCCATATCTAGCCTTATCCTAAGGTGAAAAAAAAAAAATGAAAAGAAGAAGGATATTGTACTTATCTCCAACTTCAAAATAACTGTCTTTTTTTTATTATTTTTTATTAAGAATTTAAAAACAATTTATGTATTTATATTATCCTTGGAAAAAGTAAAAAAATAAAATAAGATTTTGTATATGATAAGATAATTAATCAAAATAAATAAATAATGATAAAGTTAAAATAAGAAAAAATATTTGTTTAACTTAAAAATTAAAAAATAATAATTAATTTAAAATAAACTTAAAATGAAAAAAATAACAATTATTTTGAAATAGAGAAAATATGTAATTTACTATGGTGGAGCTAATCCCAGATGAAATGTCATTCCATACTCACTCTAGATGTTAAGGTTTTGGCTACACAATATGTTTTATAATGTATTGTCCACTAGGAGATATAAATTTAACACATTTTTTTGAAAGGAGTACTTTTATAACTCCCACCTATAAAAGTTATCAAAGAAAAGAAAATTTGTCTCAATTGATAAAAACTTAATAATCTAAGCGTACGTTTGAGATTATTATGAAGTATTATAGCTGTAACTATAATTGTGATTGTACTGAATTATGTTATATTGTAATTACAGCTAAAAGTTATTGTGTTGTTCAATTATTTATTTTTTAAAAATATTATAGATGAAATATGATAGATTTTGTTCATTATTAATTAAAAATTTAAAAATATTGTAAGACATATAATTATTAAAATAGATAATATTTATTATTTTTTAATATTTTAAGTTTTTTAATTTATTATCATTATTAAAATATTATAAAATATGATATAATTAAATTATATAAAATTAAGTTTTAATGGGTAATTTTGTAACTATATTAAATATTAAGTGTTTTTCATAAAAATCACGTTAAAAAAGTTCTAAAATAATATTTCTGATTTTATAAATAAAATTACTATAAATCAACTATAATTTTTTCTAACTTAAAAAAAAAATCAAAAAAATTACTAACGGTTAGGTTAAACCGACAGTTCTGGCACAACATTCTATTGTACCAACCATAAATTGCTTTCCTAGACCAGGTTAACTAGGTGATAGATTTCATAATTTTGTTTTGGGGGGGGAGGGATGGCGGGCCGGTGGTTGGTGAGGCGCCACAAGGCCCACAACTAACAATTTGTTGAGTTTATGTTCCCATCTTGAACATGGAATTAATTGATGTAAAGAGGGAAACATTTTTGAATGCAGGTTGTGTTTGTTGAAGCTGCCTGATTTGGGTAGGCTAATGGTACCACCTGGGGAAGGTTGTTTTTCCCTGCTCTCTTTTTATGTGTAAAATAAAAAAAATGATCGTTACTCTTTAATTTGATTTTTTTAATTTAGTTTTTAAAATATAATATAAATATAATTAATCCAATTGATTTCTTCATATTATATATATAATTACATTTTTAAATTTGTATATTTTTAATTTTAAATAAAAAAATAATTTTTCAATAAATATATTATATAATATGAGTTTTTTAACTTGTGTGCTTAGGGAACATGTTAAAAATCTTAAGAAAATAAAAGTCATATTTAATTTATTAATTATTTAATTAAATTTATTTACATAACATTGACTTTAAAATTAATAAATTAATATTCAATTTTGCATTTTCTTATAGAAATTTATTACAAAAAGGACACAAATTAAAAAAAATTCATGTAATATATTTAATCAAAAGATATACCAAACAATATTAATAAAATAATAATAAAACTCTCCCTTTTCAAAATTTCATCTTAAAATTTTAACGTTGAAAAAGTGAGTGAGAAAAATTGGTCAATTAATCAGGAAAACAAAAACAGAATAACAAGTAACTTTTCAATGATTGACAAAATGTTTGAACTTTTTATTTTTAATTTTATATTTGCAAGTAAATTTTTAAATTTTGAAAGTAATTTATCATTACCCTAATGTTGTTTGTTTGTCACATAAGTCAAACTCATTATTTCCTACTTTTCTTAAAAGCAAATTACAATTAATTAAATCATTATACAGTTAACAATTGCAAGTAACTTTTAGAAGTACAATATAATGAAACAAAGATGATAATTGTGTAATGTTTAAGAACACACGTTTCTCCTTAACATTTTTTAATGTTTAATATTTTCACTGAACATACCCTATTTCGTACATTGCTGATCAAAACAAGGCTCGACGCATGGTTAACCACGACCACGAGAACCAAAACTTCATGATGTGCCTTACACATGTGCAAATAACATGGACACAAAAATGAGAAAAACGAAAAAGAAAAAGAAAAAAGAATCAAGGAAATGAAGAATAGAGGTTCTAATATCATGTTAGAAAACCAAAGAGACAAAGTAGGAAGAAAGGTTATTGCTTTCTTAATTATTATGTATATATAAGGAGAGGCTGTATATATATAGGCTTTACAATAAAAAAAATTTACCCAAAAATATTCTTTACACAAAATTCGTCAGTATAGATGTGAAGAAATGTCTTTTTTAATGGTAATCTAGCACAAGAGGCCTATATGAAACACCTCCCAACTTTGATCATCCTTACAATAAACTATGTTGATTGAGACAATCGAGCTCTATATGGTCTAAAATAAGTACATTGAGTTTGTTTTGCTAAGTTCAATACTACTATTAGTGAATTTGATTTTACCATTAGTCCATAAAATTTTATATTGCTCAATCTTAAGATTGCTCAATATATGATTCTCTTATTATTTTATGTTGATGATATATATAGTTATTGCTTTTTTTAGTATATTGAAAAGATAACTACTTGATAATATAAAGATTTAAAGTTTTAACTTTAACTTCAAATTAAAGTTTTTAAGTTGTAAGATTTCAATTCAATCAAAATTTTATTAGTACATACTTCCTCCATTCATTTTTAGTAATTTTTGTTTTGTTTTTTAAATTTTCAAATATGAATTTTAAATAAAAATTTAATATATTATATAAATAATTGAAAATTTTTTTATCAAATAAAAACATTGGACAAAGACTTCATATGGAAAAAAAAACTTTTCAATTAATATTCACGTAAATTATTAAATTTTTATTTGAAATTTATAACTAAGAAATTACAAAATTAAATTAAAATTACTAAAAATAAATGGAAGGAATATGATCATAACTAAAAATGATGATATTAAGGATTTTCTAAAACTTTCTTTTTCCCATTATTGCTAATTAATTATCTCAACAATATTGGAACCAAAAATTTAATATACTAAATCCAAAGAATCTTTGGCAGCCAATTAGCAAACCAGGGCTGTCAAAATCTGTCCCGGACCCCTCCCAAAACAGAGGGGAAGGCTAGGAACTAGGGTGGTTAGTGTTGGACCATTCTGGTTAATTGCTCGAGTCTGGACTGCACAGTGCACAGTAGGGTCCCAGAATCAGCAAAAATTGGATCTAAACTAAAGAATTCTCAATGCTCTTTGTTATGAAGGTTGGTTCCTCATTCACCTAGTTACAGTACCTGAAACTTCTACAGGTCTGATGACTCAGATCTCACTGTATATATAGAGTAGAGACAAAACAAACAGTTTCTGTATATTTCCAACTTTTATCCACAAGGAAATAGAAAAAGAAAAAAGGAAAAAAAAAAAACTTAATAATTTGGGATTTTGACTGTCCAGCAGCATCATCATGAGCTGGAATCTTCAGTGCATTTTGTGAAATATGGAAATGAAACAACCTTAAGAAAGATGGGGTAAAGAAGGGCAAGAGGGACAAAGTCTGTAAAAAGCAAGAGGATGCAGCAGATAACAAGAGAAGGAAAAGAAGATGAAGAAATCACATGGGGTTAGGAAGACTTTCACCACAGTGCCAAGCTGTGATGATGATATTTTCACACACATGTACAGTACAAGCCCTTTGCTTTAAACTATGCAAAATCCATTTCCAACCCAACCCCATGTCATGTTTAGCTTCTGCAGATGATTTGGGGTCCAAATGGTCAAATTAGGGATTTTATTTTATTTTTTAAGTATCTGCTTTTTTTGAAGGGGTAAGAGACCCCATCAAGAAGACTTCTCAAGAGGGAGCAGTCAACGGAGAAGGGTCCCAGGTGAGACATATTGGCTCTCAACTTTCGAACAACCCCAGACGCTGCCAAGCACCATATTAAATGAAGTTTGCACACATGGAGTCATAGAGATGGGGGCACCAAGTGATTGGTACTAGACATCAGCATTCAAAAAAGAAATACAAAGAGACCCCACCCACATAAAGAAATTTCAGGCTGGATGTTCAAGTCGAGGTTAAATATCAGAAACTACCAAGAACGGTGGGGATGTGGTAGAGAGAACAGAAAGGGACAAAACAAATTTCAGCATCATTATGGGCATTCAGAATGAAAGATCTGAAAGGCCCGTTTGGCCTTAAGCGCATAGCTGCTCTCATCAGTAAATAAACAAAGAGAATAGAGCAAACAAGAAACAACAAAGATGAAAGAAAGATGCTGATCTCTATTTCATCAACAGTAAGTGATTGATAAGACATAATATTTCTGTTTACATTTAGTTCTCAGCTGGCACTGATCAGATGCCACCATGTAACCAAAGACAACCCAGAATTTGATCACAGCAGGGGATATGAGTTTCTATCACCCTACTAATCTCCATATCTAAGCACAATCCATCTTCCTTCCCAAACCCAGAAACACTAATAATGTAAAACAATCACACCAGGAATCACAGAGCAAGAAAAAGTAACGTTAACAAACTAGAAATTAGTGTCAAAGCCAGACTTGACAGTAGCAGTATCCTCCACTGCCACTGCTATATTCATTAACCATGAGCATTAGTAAAACTATTAAAAAGGTTAATGGTTCTGCTATACGACAGCTTCACCACCTTCTTCAAGCATGGAATGTAACCTAAAAATAACCTCCATTAGCTCTATCCCTGACCGGAAAACCGAGCTCCAACTCCTTAGTTGGATTCTGCGTTGAGTATAAAAATTCAACCTGGTCCAGTTGGATCCAGTGAATGATTATGCTCTATTTACAGATTAATAGAGGCATAGACCAAAGTCTAAAAAAATATGACTTGACTCCTACACCTTATCACTTCGAGTGGGTTAGTCCCCTAACAGTTTCTACCAATATGAACAATTGCCTTGATTTCTGTGATCCTACCCTTTGTTAGACTTCCATCTTCCAAATCATGTTGTCAGTGGTGCTATCATGTGCTTTTTCCAGTGCAACAACTTTGGCCCGGTGGGCTGCTAATGCAAGTGCACTCTTACCCCTTTCATCCTGATGGAGTTCACAGCTTTCACTGACAGATCCAGATCTTAAGTCAGCCGGTGGGATGAAACAGTCTAAAGAAAGTCCAGGCACATTGAAGGCAACCTCTTCAATAGTCCAAGCTTCTTCCATCTTTGTCTTGGTATGGCTCATTGCCATTTCACCAAACCTGAAAAGGGTCACAACAGATCTTCCAGAGTGTGCAATCATAATCCCTTCAACAGGTCTGTAATCATCAAGAAATGAATTGATCGTGGTTTCCCAGTAAACCGCATCACCTCCATTGGATTGAATGCGAGTCAGATGTGAATCTTCCATGTGAACAAGAAGCCCTGTCTTCTGGCTGAAGTAGCCATACAACACATGCCTAATGATCTCAGCAGGTCCTTCACTCCTTGCCTTCAGTGTCTGAGGATCAGCAGAAAGCTTGAGGATAAAACAATCTTCACCATTAATCTTTTTCTCCCCTATGCACCTAGCATTGGCAAACATGCTAGCTGTAGTTCTTGGATCAAGACCCTGCAACAAAACATAACCCCCAAAGCTTGAATTAGAGAATTTAGGGCAATTTTAGATTTATGGCTTAACTGAAAGGCAAATTTTGAGCACTTCAAAAAATAGGAACTTAGCAGAGAAACATTCACCTGAAGTGCACGACGCAATGGTCTAACAGGCCCCTTTGCAGAGTGGGCACCAAGCCAGGGTGTGTGCCTCCAGACTAGCTTCCCATTACACCCGGCATGAACCTTGCTACCCCCAACTGCAAGCTCAACATACCACATGTCGGGATCCATTTGCCAGAGAACAAACCCACCAGATTCTGCACATCTAGAGGCATTCCGGTTCTTAACAGTCCTTGTGGCAGTCTCAAATTCCGAAGCTACCATTCTCAATTTCCCCATTGCATAAGCATTTCGAATGGAGTTTTGGAGCTTCTGCCCCCCGGAAGCAGCTGTATACTGCTGCAATATGTACTGAGCAGAAGAAGTTTCCTACAAAACATAGAAACAAAACAAAAGAGTTCAAAGAAGAGTTATAATAAGAAATTTCATCAAATTAACCCCACACATACGGCTAGCAACAGTCTCTTTACAGCATACACTGCAAATTATATGTTTCACATGGCACTGATTATTTTGTTTCTCAGCTAGCAAAGGACAATTTTATCACATCAATCCCCAGCTGAGCTCCAAACCGCTTCTAGCAATACCTTTAACGACACCGTTTCTTGGCTTTTCCTTCGGTTTTCTCTCTAACCAAACAGCGCTAGGAAAAGAATTAATTAATTCACATGGATCTACCACAGAGCAGAGCACTAGGCAGGCAGAGAGCAAAACATAGACTACCAAAAATCGTAAAAAACACTCTAAAATCTATTTACAAAAGAAATACTAAGAAATTGTAAAAAAAAAATATATATACTACTATCGGCGAATCAAATCAAATCAAACTATTTTGCTCAATGTTCACGAAACCATGACCAAGGTTTAAAAAAAAAAAAATTATTACAGTCAAAAGCACCCAGCTTTAGAAAAAAAGATGAAAACCGGAAAAACGAAGACAACCCATCAGCTGTTTCCATTTCATAAAAATAAAAAAAGCTTAAAGAAGTTTGAAAAATCAAAGGAAGGAATGAACAGAAAAGCTGGTGGGTTAGAAGGAGAGACCATAGAGAGAGGGACTAACAATGGGAGTGTCCTTGATGCTCAAGTGAGGCAGAGGCTCAGTAGAGCTAACATAAACAGGAGCCAGAGGCGCACCCATGACCCCAAGCAACAGCCTGAGATCGGACTTCTTGTAACCCATGGACACCACCGAGGGAGTCCTTGACAACTGCCCTTTCACCCACTGTCCCAGACCTGACCCAATCCTCTTCGACTCCCCAACCTCCCCACCGTCCGGATCCGGGCCCTCAATCAGCGGCGCCAAAGCTTCCCCAACCGGCCTCAGACTCCCGGATCTCGCCATCAACGCCTCCGGCTGCGCCA